ATTAATACTAAAACTACTCTTTTATTAATTTTTAATCTTAATAACGCCACATTACAGACAAAGCTGGAGGAATCTTATCCCGGCGAAGCCAAGACGCTAGTTATTATTACGAACATATAAAGTTGAGTCAAATATACCAAATTGCATATGAACACTCACGCCTGTCACCCAGAGGGGTAGGCACAGACTACAGATTTCCATTTAGCACGATCCTGGCATACCACTCCCGCCTCCTCCATCCACATATCTACGCATACATGCTCGTCGGTTAAGGGTGCCCTTAATCTGGCCCATTTTCAATATATCACCAATTTTGTCGATAAACTTTCGACTAGGACGTCCCTTTCCGCCTCTTCCGTTCACTTATGCAGCATAAATTTGCTTTGTCACTCTTTCCTCATTCATTCCTTCTTTCTGCATGATTTTCTACTTGAATTGCGAGCAATTAAAATATTTTCTACTTTGAGGAAGAAATTAAAATTTATGAGTAATCTAATACAATGTTACTATATAATAATATTTTAGATGAATGATTTAATCTAATAATTTAATCTATTATTATGAATATGTAATCTATAAACTACGAATGATATTTGACATTTGTATGCACATGAGGCGGATCACAGACTGAACTATATTTCTATTTGATTAAGACCTTTTTGTAACCTGTGATTCACAAATAAACTATTTGATTTGATTTGATGGATTGGCTATGAACGCCAAGCTGGAAGCCGGATTGACGACCGCAGTTCCTTCTATTTAAGACCGATTTACACTTCGACAAGTACAGTAGCGAGTTTAGTGTAACTAACACTTTCGGTCGGTTGGAAGAGCAGCTGCAGTGCGGACGAGAGGAACAGGCCCGTCTGTTGAAATAGCAGCAGGAGGAATAGGCCCGCCGACAGGAGAAACAGGTCCGTCGGCTGGAAGAGCAGCTGCAGCGCGGATAGGAGGAACAGGCCCGTCGGTTGGAAGGTCAGCAGGCGGAACAGGCACATCGGTCGGAAGAGCAGATGCTTCTCATGAAGGACCTTCACGCTACCTTTGGGAAAGATATATTGAAGGTGAAGGATAGGGTTGCTCAAGATGACAACCGCCTGTCGGAAGCTGAAACCCAAATCAAGGAAGCTAAAAACCCAAATCGACCAAGTGAACAATCGGGTTGACAACGTGATGGCTGACGTCAAGAAAACGCTGGACGACCTCAAACTGGGAGATGGAACAATGTGTAGTAGCTACTACAGCTCCTGTAGTAGCTACTACACATTCGCTACGTGGGTTCAAAGTGCCACCGTTCGACGGGACTTTTTCCTGGTCAGCTTACAAATTCCAGTTTGAAGCCGTTATGAAGGCGAACGGCTAGAATAAAAGTCAGGCCATGACTGCTCTTACACTAGGCCTGTGCGACCAAGCCTTAACTGTTCTGGAAGCTCTCGGTGAGGAAGTGACTTATAAGCAGCTCCTTGAGGCATTCGAGGCGAGATATGGTGACGTTCACCTGGAACACGTCTTTCATGCGCAGCTTAAAGATCACGTTCGGCGCATCAACGAAAACGTGCAGCAGTGGACTCTAGAGGTGTAGAAGCTGGTGCGAAAAGTATACCGGTCTGTACCTGCGCTCATTGAAGGGAACCTGGTGCAGACATTAATCGACGGCATTCGCGACCTTGAAGTCAGAGCTGCTGTAAGGCTCGGGCACCACGAGATGCTTAAGGACGCCTTGGCCCATGCACTGGAGGTGGAAGCCGTGCGGCACGATCTTCGTTCCCATCGCGTCAGCGAAGTTGCAGCAGCTACAGTTCGCGATAACAATAAAAATTACAGCCCAAACTGCTACGGTTGTGGGGAAAGGGGCCATCTTCGATCCAGCTGCCCTAAGCGATCTGTAAAAAGGCAAGGTGATCGATCTCGAGAGGGTTATGCGGCTAACAGCACCGCCCAGCAGCAGCAGGAATACGACTTTACTATAGGACACTGCAGCAGGAACTGGCGTGGCAACACATATGCATTGACAAGAGGTCCTTATCTTGATGATGGCGAGAACAGTACTAGGCAAGAGAGTAAGGAAGTGGTATCCGTGAGGATGCTCAGAACACACCACCTCAGCAACGAATGGAAGGACAGCTTACAACATGCACAACAGGAAGATCCGGACATCAAGCCGATTCAGGAATGGATAAAAGCCCGTGCTACCAAGCCTAAGTGGAGCGACGTCTCAGCAATGAGTTCGACCACTAGAAGCTATTGGGCCCGATGGGACAGCTTGCTGATTCAGGATGGAGTCCTGTGCCGTAAATGGGACAATGGTCGAGGACACAGCTGTCGTTTGCAAATGTTTGTCCCTAAAGCTAAAGTGCCGAATGTTCTACAGCTGTACCATAATGGTTGTTCAGGAGTCCATCTGGGAGTTAAACGAACTCTACTGAAGATCCGAGAACACTTTTATTGGGTCCACTTTCGTGACGATGTCGAGGATTGGTGTCGCACATGTGCAAGTTGTGCGGCTGTGAAGGGACCTCAGACACGTAGTAGAGGAGCATCGAAACTGTACAATGTTGGTGCACCATGGGATAGGACAGCCCTTGACATTGCGGAGCCGTTTCAGAAAGGCGCAAGAGGGACTCCTAAGATCGTTCATGTGCATCGCCTGGCACGTTATTATGGAGCCGATAATGCTCGGGACAAGCATGTCTTAGGAGGGGGCAGTGTTGCGCGCCTAAGTTGATGTCAGGTACATGGCACTAGCGCCATCTAGTGTCGGGGACAAGAGCGAGGAGGGCTTCCTAGAAAATGTCAATCTTGATATTTCGAGCAACAGCGCTATCTAGTATCGAACAGAAGAATTAAGCTTTCTAGAAGCTCCACACTCGAACTTTCTGCGTCTGGTCGTTCTTCGCCCGTATTTACTGGAATATTCTGGGTGTTTCTGTGTAAACTGTGTATTTAAAGCCGCTGCAACTCGCTATCAGGGCAGTATTGAATTTAGTGAGACAAGCGAAGCTTCGGAGCGAAATAAAATGAATCAGTGTGATTAATTATTAGTTTCTTTTAAGATTTAATTGGTGTTCGGTAATAAAAGTGTTAATTTTGGTAATTCAGTCGGCAGTTTTTACTGTCACGAACCTCAAGCTCGTAACAATAGTAACTTTGCAACCATCCGCTCAATAAAATAAAATGATGTGTATTACCTAGTTTGAAGAGCACCTCCTGCACTCCCTCAATTGCGTGCACTAATCCCGTCACCACTAATCCCAGCACCACTACTCCCAACACAGTGTATATATCAGTCACACATATGCCGGTATTTGTTGGGAGCACTAAGCTCGAAGTTGTTGACGAGTACGTTTACCTGGGACAAATAGTTCGACTAGGTAAGTCCAACTTTAATGAAAACTTTATTGAACTTTTAGCTGTTCCAGAGTACTGCAGTGATGACCCGGTTATAAGTGCTTTGATGTCGGTATAAACCTCATGTTATTTTGATCGCTTTGGCGCCTCATGAACTTGAGCGGCTGTCGTCATCAACTGTTGGCTGGGTTAAGCTATCGTCAAATTCTCCCAAGGGCTTCGCAATCGCATCATGCCATGACATGACGCATCAGCATATTGTGAAGAAAAATAATATAAAAATAAAGATTCTGAAAGAAATGATGGGCTCAGTAGGGAAAGAACCCAGAGCTGCAAAGCCAGTTAAAAAAAGTTCTATCTGTGAATTAGGGATGCCCGATGTTGCAGAAACATCGATGATGACATCGATGTTGAACATTATCGATGTTTTTTTACACATTTATTTAATTAATAGGTTAGAATTAGATGAATAAAAAAATAGACATGGTGTTTATAGTATATTATTAATGAAATTAATATACAATGTGCTTAGTTTAAAACAGTAATTTAAAAAAATTGGAAGAAGTTAACAAATGTCTAGTTCATTTGTTATACAGTCCAATATTTCTACAATTGATTGAAGATATAGTAATTTTGACAAAGATGTACCTTTCAATCTGGTTCTCTGTTGATAAAGAGTTGAGCCGAGCCAGCTTTTGAAAATAACCTTCCAATAATCGATTATGGTAATTGATAGAATCAGGCGTTACTTTGCGGAAATCCATTATAATAAAAAAAATTATTACTTTGCAACCTTCCGCTAACTAAATACAATGATGTGTCTTACCTGGATTGAAGAGCACCTCCCGCCCTCCCTCAATTGTATGCACTAACTCCGTCACCACTAGTCCCAGCACCACTACTCTCGACACCACTACTCCCAGCACCACTACTTCCAACACAACTATTCCAGGTAAGACGAAGAAGTGACTTAACTGACTTAGCGGTCAGTCGCCGTAGAGTCCACATCACCTGAGGATGCATTGTGTAGAGGCGAAACACGGGTCGTATTATCGTCGATGGTGTGTCTTACCTGGAATAGTGGTGTTGGAAGTAGTGGTGCCGGGATTAGTGGTGTCGGGAGTAGTAGTGCTGGGACTATTGGTGACGGAGTTAGTGCATGCAATTGAGAGAGGGCGGGAGGTGCTCTTCCATCCAGGTAAGACACATCATTGTATTTAGTTAGCGGAAGGTTGCAAAGTAATAATATTTTTTTTAATCGATTATGGGTTTATTTACATCGATGTTTCGATGTTTGACATGTGGAAATACCGATGTTTTAATTTTTAACATCGATGATCATCGAACATCGATGATCGTCAAACATCCCTACTGTGAATTGAATTGTCACACGTACGATGAATAAAGTTTACACAATTTATGAGTAAATTTCTGTAATAGGATGCATATTATTTGTAAAGAATATGCATCTAACAGATAAATGAGCCTTATTTCTGTAGTGTCTCTTTTATTAAATTAACTAAGTTTTTGTTAGGTGAGGTTAGAAACCGCAAGTATAGTACACGTATGCAGCTTACTGGTGTTTTTAGGATATTTCGCCAATTAGGTCTGAAATGACGTGAGTTGGAATCTTGAACAGTAAAAGTGACACGATGCTGCCGTTGACCCAAAAGGATACAAAACTCCCGCGCGGTCCCTTGGGTGGGATCCGTGAAAAATTCCAAAATTGGCTCAGGCTTATTTATTCAGATAAAAATTCAAGAAATTTGTTTTTATTCTTGATTCTTAATTTGTCTTTCGCATTTGTTGAATTGTTCTATGGAATATGGACCAACAGCTTAGGTGAGTAACTGGATACTCTTAAATTAGTATAAACTTTTTTGAGTTTTGTAAAAGTTGAGTTATTTCAATAAATTATATATTTTAGGTCTCATTTCGGACGCATTCCACATGTTCTTTGACTGCACGGGTCTGGTTGCTGGTTTGGCAGCATCCCTGGTATCTAAATGGCGGGCCAATGAACGTTATTCTTATGGCTACGCCAGAGCCGAGGTGCTTGCTGGCTTTGTGAATGGACTGTTTCTCTTGTTCATTGCCTTCTTCATCATGAGTGAAGCTGTGGAAAGGGCTATAGAACCTCCAGAGGTAAGTATGCTTACACAAGTATTAAATATAGTCTTTTAGTAAACTATCAGTTTTCGACGTCCTTAAATATTTATGAGAATTTGTACAAAAATTCAACAGATCAGCATACCAGTGTCCTCTGTGGTTTTTATCTTTATATTTAGAATTGCAATGTGTGTGTGTATGTGTGTATTTATAATTCTTTTCCTTCTAAATGGCTTGACTGTTTTTGATGAAATTATAATGGAGTACTTATGGGTCACTTGGGTGTTGCTTAGCTATTGTTGGACCTGTTAGGTGGTACTGTTGTCCAGAAATAATCCATGTGAAGCCAGAGCAGATTGCTAATAATAAATATATCAAAATAATTCATTCAAAATTAATTTGAATTAGTGTAACTGGTTAGCTATTTGTAACTACATGTGATGAATTCTTTATGTATATTTCAACAATATAATGTTTTCCTTTACTGCTGAGCACTCAGTAAAAGTAAAGTTACAGCCTATATACGTCCCACTGCTAGGCACAGGCCTCTCCTTATTTCTGAGAGGGTTTTAGGGCAAGGAAGTATCCGCCGCGCTGCCCATATGCGTGTTGACGAACTTCACGTCTTCGAAAAATTTTTTGTTCTCATCTCTTAGACATGCAGGTTTCCTCACGATGTTTTCCTTCACCACTGGGCATGTGGTAAATCAGGACTTAAAATTGCAATTAACATTGTTGCCAGCGGCGATCGAACCTGAGTTACTCGCATTCTGTTATATTTACTGCAAGCGTTAACCGTCTGAGCTACTACGGCTCCGGCACACAGTAAATCTACTTAAAATTTCAATTAACAGTATCATTTGAGCTGGTGAAAGTTATGCTGAGCATTTAGCTTCTAACCATACCATGTAGTGGTGATGTAAGAATATCTGCTACCCCACATCATCCTGTAGGTGTCGTAAGAGGCGACAGAAAATCTGAAACATGAGATGGGCAGCTAAATGTTTCTGATGACTACTCAAAACAAATAAAAATCAAAAAGTCAAGAAATTCTCAGTAGCAGCCCGGAGTCAGAAAGTTAGAGGTGTTTCACCATCGTGCCTTGAGAAGCATGTAAAGCCATAGGTCCTGCACCTGATCTTTCTCTGGTCGTTTCAATTACCGTCCCAACAGACTATGACAGTTGGGAATAGAGATTGCACTTATGCTAGCGTATACACTCAGGCACTATAATTCTGTGCTGCGCAAATAGCTAGTCTCCAATGAGACCGGCCGCCACAAATGTTGGTATATTTGCTTTCTGTGAATGTTGATGTTATCCTTAAAATCATTTATTTATTGCAGTTTTTACTGACTGACATTTAAAGAATTTCTTGAAGTGTAAAACATAAAGTATAAGCATATTTTACACAAGTATGGTAGAAAAATGTCGGAGATTTTGATTAAGTAATTTAAAGATAACATCACATATAGACCGGGAGCTGGTGACAGGTGACGTTCCACGATTTTGTCGTGCATGCCTTTTTAAGGCTTGATAACTAACCCTAAAATATCAAAGATTGTCGGGGCTTTAGCCCCCCCGCGCGTCCTCTTCATAAGGAAAAGTGCTTTTCTTTGTGTAGTGAATTTTCGTGTTTTTCCGTGATAGCATACTGCATGCCATTGTAATATAAGGAAGTTCAAGCAAATTAAAGCTCTAATAATTGATGGCATGCACCTCGCAGCAGCCCAAGATAATCAAAGGGTTCTGAAAACCTGAAAAAAATTAAAGGGCAATTCCGTGTTCTCAAATTGCATGCCGATGTAAAGAATGGAAGTTTTTGTAATAAAAACACTCTGGAAAAATTGGCCCCGACAATCTTTGATATTTTAGGGTTAGTTATCAAGCCTTAAAAAGGCATGCACGACAAAATCGTGGAAAGTCACCTGTCACCAGCTCCCGGTCTAACAGGTGATCGCAGCCATGCGGAGCAAGGGGGTATTGCTAGTAAAGACACATGTAGCATATTTTATTAAAATTTTTTTTTGGTTTTATATTGGTTTCAACCTCCAGTATTCAGAAAATAATTGAAATTCCCTTATCTTGTTAGTCTGAAGCAATAATTATATCAGCTTCACTACCTTAGAGATAAGGCACATACCTACTTACTTAACATATGTTTGACTTGATAAGGTTTTGTAACTTCAATTCAATTTAAGCTGACTTTCTATATGTAGTTTTACACCTTGAGTTAAAATATAAACTGATAAATGTAAAAGTGTTGTGTAATATTATATTAGATGTAAATAAAACCGGCCAAGAGCGTGTCGGGCCACGCTCAGTGTAGGGTTCCGTAGTTTCCCGTCCGTCACAATAAGTGTTCCCACTTATGAGTTTAAAGGTGGGTATCCATTATGTTCGCGCTCCAGGAGCGCTCCGCGCTCCTGCAACTGCTCCCGGTAGTGGGTACGTGCGCGAACATGGAGCGTGCATCATTGCACGTTCCGCGGCAGGCGCTCCGACTTTCCATCCAAGTTCAAAATGATTTTCCTAGAAAGTCCTTATAAAGTTCTACTTTTCAGATTTTTTTCATATTTTCTAAACTTATGGTTCAAAAGTTAGAGGGGGGGGACACATTGTTTTTTACTTTTGGAGCGATTATTTACGAAATTATTGACACTATCAAAAAATGATCTTAGTAAACCCCTATTCATTTTTAAATACCTTTCCAACAATATATCACACGTTAGGGTTGAAATTAAAAAAAAAATCTCTTCCCACTTTACATATGGGGGGGCTACCCTAATAAAACATTTTTTTTCCAATTTTTATTTTACCACTTTGTCGGCGTGATTGATACACATATAGTTACCGAATTTCATTCTGCTTTCTAGTGCTAACGGTCACAGAGATTAAGCGAGGACGGACAGACGGACAGACAGACATGGCCAAACTATAAGGGTTCCTAGTTGACTACGGAACCCTAAAAAAGGAAAGACGAATTATAACTTTGTCTATGTCAGAAGACATAATGATCTCTTTTGTTGAGTAGGATGATAGGAATAGAATTACTTGTGTCTTTTATATTCAGATAATGGTTCACTTTCCAAGTTTATCCAAATAGGTCATCCCTGAGGATTTGTTTATAAACCTAAGTAGTGAAACTTGGTTGGCGACATACCACAGACTCAAACCAAACAGTTTGCTTTATCGTTCATAATGCCCACAATAAAGGAGTGGAATACTTTACTAGCATCTGTCTCCATAGGCTTTTGTTATTCTAAGTCAGTGTGCTTAATCCTTCGGCTGCATGCATCGCCACTTACCATAATTTGGAATAGTAGTGCAGCACTGGCTTATAATAGTAAAAAATAAATACTAGCTTTTACCTACCTGTGACTTTGTCTTCACAGAACATATAACGAAAAAAAACCTGTAAGTCTATAATAGTGATATTTAGGCAAGTTGTCAACTATTAAAATTCTATCTTTACCCAATAACTTACTCTTATTTACTCATCAATATATTTAATATTATCTCAAAACGAAAAAAGTACTGTGGATTAATTTAAAAAAATTACCAAGGGGTAAAGTAGGAATTTCTTCTGTATTGTTGAGGTAATTTACATACATAAATTGCATAAAGACACGCGATACGATATGAACATGCGGATCTGCAGCGCTACAACTTAACACTAAGTCAATGCGCTGCCGTAGCCGTCAAGGCCAGTTAAACCAAGTACAATTGTTAATGCAAATAGAAAAGTTCAAAAAATGAATAGAAATGAGATATCTGTGACATTTATACGGTTTGCTATTACCGTTACAGTTACAGCTTATTTAAGCCTACTACTGAACATAGGCAGCCGCCATAGATTGCCTCATAGGGTGGATTTTTGTCATAGTTTGCTATACTGGGCAAGCGAGTTAGCAACTGCATTTTTTTATTTTTAGTTGTTATTCGGAAGACGCTATTGCCCATCTCCTGGTTTGTATCCCTCTGTCGCCTCTTACGACACCCACGGAATGATATGAGGTAGAGGATATTGTTACACTGGCACTACATGGTAAAATTTTCTATGAGCATTAACAGTTTTAGAAAGTCAATTTGGGTGACCATGCATTCCAGTTAATCAGATTTTTAGTATGTATTTTAATAGATAAAACAAACCACGAAATAAAACCAAAGTAAGTAATATTAAGCTTAAAGTACAACTTTTTAACGGCCATCTGGAATTAATATTCATTTGAAATTATTCACTAAGAATGAACTGTTTGATCATACTTAGTGAATCATTTCAAGTGATCTTTAACTTTGTGGTTCCAGTTGAGTCATGTTGCAGCTGTATTATAGCTTGCAAACTCTTATAGAATACTAGCATAAAATAGCAGCAGCTATTATTTATGGTAAATCATAAAACTCAGAGACCCATTTTTATTGGTAATGTGGCATTCCTTCTGTGGGTGTGACAATTCATCTAGGTTTTGATTCATAATTGAGAATAGATGCAATTTTTTATAGGATAAGGATAACAAGCCAGCAGACAGTCCACCTGATGGTTAGTGGTCGCTGTGGCCCATTGACATCTACATCTATCCATGTTTATGAATCAAAGTGCAGATGCGTTGTCAGTAGAGATGGGCCGAATATGTATTTCACCGAATACGAATATTCGGCCGAATGTTCGGTAAAACTTTTACCGAACCGAATATTCGGCCGAACATTATTCGGCAGGATCACCTCGGTACTTAACCAATTTATGTCGAAACTAGTTGCCATAGCGCGCGTGGGACTAGCGCCGGACCCTGCCCCTAGCTCTTCCGCCACACCTGACATGTTATTGCATCATCTAGTACTGAGAAAATTGCTGGTACATGCTTATGCTTTGACTATTTTTGCGAGAAAAAAGTATTTCGTTGTGTTATCCTTAGTGAAAATTCATAATTATATAATAAAAATGAGTGGCAGGAGATCCATTCTATAGACTTATTTTAAAGAAATTGACGACCAAAGTAAAGTGAATTGTACTAATGTAATGTAATGTTTCTTTGTTTGATTTTAAAAACATTTTATCAAAAATTAATTCTACAAGCCTCTATACAAGTAGATTTAACCCATTTAAAATATATAATCAGTAAAATTATGAAAAACATATGGCATAACTCAATTCGTACATTTTAATACAGTGGACACCTTGAGTACCACTTTAACGAATGTTCGGTGATGTAGCCGAATATTCGGCCGAATACGAATATTCGGTAAATCTGCCGAATATGCCGAATACCGAATATAAAACGAATATTCAGCCCACCTCTAGTTGTCAACCATGAGGACTAAGATGGAACGCCTCTTTTCCAGTAAAAAGGATCTCCGGTTCTCTACACCCATACGAAACACAGCAGTATTAAGCTGCTATTTTACGCTGGTATTATATGAGAGCGTGGTATTTCCCCGATCGAGCCGACCCATTCGTGCTATGCAATTAATATAGTAAATTTTAAAAAGGTCCTTTTGGCAAGAAATTTTGGTTTTGTAATTGTGAAAAAATATAATTTTGTCAATTGGCGAATCCAGTCCCGCGAGCATGAGAAAGCCTTGTTTTTATTTCGTTTCTGCGCAGCATATGACATCTGCAAAAAATATCCAAAAAAATATTATTTTGGCAAATAGATTTTTTTTATCTTTTAAAATTATAAACGCGCGTTTTCTAAATAACCAATCAAAGTGCAAGGAGCTATTTTTCTCGCACCTATGGCTACGCATAAGATTTGTTGTATTCGTTTGTTAGCTTAATGCACGTCAGGAAATTGCTTAAAACCGCTAAATGTAGCTGGTGATTTGCAGGTATTATTCAAATTACTCAATAAATACGTGATTAAAATTTGAGATTGGCAAAATTACATTTTTTGGGAATATTAATAAAATATTTTTGAAGAGGTCTGGTAATACTTTATAACCCCAACAAAAACGTCCGGGATAATTTATTTTGAATTATATAAAAAGTTTCTCAAAATATTTTTTTGGATTTTTTTTTGCAAATGTTATATGCTGCTCAGTAACAAAATAACCGCAAAATTTGGGAGTCGAGTCACGTGAGTCGAGTAGTTGAGTCGCAGATTCGTGGGACTGGATTCGCCAATTGAAGAATTTATATTTTTTCACAATTTCAACTTGCTAAAAGGATAAAAGAAATCCTACCAACTAGTAAAAACTTACCATAAAGTTAACTGTATGTCCATTTGTCACAAAATGCTTTTGCACTAGTCACTTATACCATTATAATAAGTAAATTAAGTTGATTTACTTATTCGTGTATGTATTAATTTTGTGAATGTAAATTTGTAAGAAAGTAGTGGCGGTGTAAGAATATCCTCTACTCCATATCATCCCGCGGGTGTCGTAAGAATATCCTCTACTCCATATCATCCCGCGGGTGTCGTAAGAGGCGGCAGAGGGAAACAAATCAGGAGATGGGCAGCAGTGTCTTCCTAATAATGATTAAAAATTAAAAACTGCGGTTGCCAACCCGCTTGCCAAACATGGCAACTATGGCAAATATAACTATGTCACAATCTGTGGAGGAGGCCTATGTTCAGCAGTGGACTTCAATAGGCTGCAACGGTAGCGGTATTGTCAGAAACACAGACTTAAAAAATATCATATAAGAACTTAACTGTTACTCGAAACAAATTGTTAGAACGTGCATAAGCTGCATTCAATAAATACGCAAGCAGCTGTTGTGTCGTCATTAACTGTTTATGGCGTATGAAACGTTGCCAACCTATGCTTTTATGTCTACTCTTTCACTTGGAAAAACGATTGTAATTTGTAACGCACAACTAACCAACTGAAACGTGATAAAAGCAAAACGATCACAATGCCTCTTTAAAGATTCATACACAAGTAAAATTTTTGATGCTAATGATGTATATAGTTGAGTGACAAACCAGCACATAGTCCACCTGATGGTAGTGGATGCTGTGGCCCATAGACATATACAGTAATCTATCCTCGATCTAAGAATCAAAATACAGATGTGTTGTCACCCCTGAGAAATAAGATGGAATGACTCATTACCAATAAAAAGAGTCTCCGATTCTCTACACTTACCATACGAAACACAGCAACATTACTTCACACACATATTTAACAATAACGTGGTAGTGTTATTTTGATATCCATTTTGGAAACAACATAGTGAAATGAAGAAGCTTTAGTGTATTAAATATAAATTGCACATAGTATTAAATTTGCTTTTTTCTCTTTCTTTCTTTCTTTCTATCCTTACAGTTTTTGTTGTTTCAATAGAATTTATGTAGGAAAACGTCGTGAGAAATCCACAATGTCTAAGGAATATAAATGTTTTAAAGACATGTTGTAAAGTTTACTATTTGGTAGCAATCATTTCTTGGATAAATTTTTGCTGCTAAATAGCAGTGCCTTAACTGCTGTATTCCGATTTGAAGCATTTAGAGATAGTTACAGGCTGTAGTGTTGTTGTGTTGGACTAGTGATCAGAGATGACAACGCATCTATAGCCTTCTTTGTTGTATGTTGACTGCAGGCGTCCATAGACTACAGTAGCCGTTTACCATAAAGTGGACTGTAAGCTCGTTTATCACTTCACACTTAAATAAAAAAGAACATGTTAAGTGCGCCATAACGCACTGGAGCAACGCAACGGATAAATCTATTTTTATAGAATAGGGCTGGATATGTATATAAGGGTGTGTATATGTAAGAATGGGTCGGTATAGAACAAGTATAGGTATGTAAGTCAGTACTTGGGCAGTGTTTTTTTATAGAATAGAATGACAAACGAGCACACAGCCCACCTGATGATAAGTGGATGCTGTGGCCCATATACAATATACATCTCTACATTTATCCTCGATTAAGAATCAAAACGCGAATGTTTTGTCACCCCTGAGGACTAAGGATGGAATGCCTCGTTTCGCTCCATAACTCTGTCAGAAATGAGAGGAAGGCGGTTCCCAGAACTCATATAAACTAAATACCATATTATATTAAGATACTATATTAACTAAAACAACAATTGATATGTATAGAAAATGATATGTATAAAAAAGACACCACACTGTGTAGGATATATCGTTATCTTGTTATTGATATATTGCTGTATATAGTGAAATATATTCCAAAGTTACTTAATTCCATTATAAAAACTTTTAGTTATTTTATAGCCTTATATTCTTAGACAAGAATATATTTAAAACATATCTTGTAATATTTTATTAATATATTACTTTTTCAATGTTGTAGGTGAAGCACGAACGTCTGTTACTGGTGTCGATCCTTGGCTTCTTAGTGAACCTGGTGGGTATATACGCGTTCCACCATGGGCACGGCCATTCGCACGGTGGCCACGGCCACTCGCACAACCACGACCACGGCCACGGTCACTCGCACGACGACATCGAAGCACCCACCGGGGCCGGATCGGCCATCATGCGAGGCGTCTTCCTGCACGTTCTAGCGGACACTCTCGGATCGGTCGGTGTGATCATCTCCGCGATATTGATGCGAATGTTCGGCTGGATGCGCGCCGATCCATTATGTTCTATGGCGATAGCGTTATTAATCGCCGCTAGTGTATTGCCGTTAGTGCGCGATTCCGCTGGCGTTCTGATGCAACGGACTCCCATATCAATAGAACGCGCCTTACCTAACCTGTTCACGCGCGTGGTCGGCCTAGCCGGCGTGCACGCGGTCCAGGAACCTCATTTCTGGACTTTGTGCAGTGATGTTCATGTCGGTGCTATCAAACTAGAGGTGGCGAGAGAAGTCGATCCTCGCTACGTCACGGAGCAGGCCGCGAGGATATTCCGCGAGGCCGGTGTGAAACACCTCACAGTGCAACTGGACTACTCCCCGCTTTGATCCTAAACTTAAGCTTGGTCACAAATGTACAGATCTCCACAGAGTGGAGCGATTCTCCTTTGTATATAAGGCATGTGTAATTTAAGCAACGCAATAGGTCAATAATAAGTCCATTGTGAGCGAATAAGAGAAATTTATGTGAATGTTTTATATGAATGGAAATTATAGAATTATGTGCTGTATTGAAAGTTATTTTTTATTGTAAATTTCATTCCTGTTTGTGAAAGCTTAATGTAAGCTATATTTTATTGTAAATCAAAAATGTGATAATTCAAATGTCAGATTTATATTTCTTCATTATTTTTAATGCCATATTAATTTTTGTTACATATTTTGTTGCGAAATATATTATGCTTGCAACACTCGTAAAAATTGGTATTAAAACCGACTTGGAGTATTCTTTCAAATGTTGAATAGTATTATAACAATTTTACAATTCAGTTGTGTATATATTTTAATATTATATAAAAAATCGGTTTTATTATATTATTTTAGTTAAATATTTTCAACATAAATTATTCATAAAATGTTGTGTTACGCAACTTGTTTAAAACTAATTCAGTTTCTACATTCCATGACGTCTTCGAAATCGATTTGTACAATTAATAAGAAAAAATTAAATAAATCAAATACAAGTGTATAGAATAGTTTATTATACATATACACCATTTTGTCTACTAGTATACTGTGTAGAATTATGATTTTAATAAATAAGTACCTACAATTCAGTCGCCGTAAGAATATCTACTACCCCATATTATGCCGTGGGGTGTCGTCAGAGGACAGAGGGAACAAATAAGGACAAGGGTAACAGCGTTTTCGACAACCCGCCAGCCCAGCATGCGCACTAGATTTATTAGAATCCTTCCTTAAGGTGATGTGAGCGCCGATAGCAGATTTTGCACGCTTTAAAAGTGCAATTTTTTGTCATTAAAACTACGAATTCACATTTTTTTTTAATTCATTATGGAAGTTAAATATTTTTCTTAGTGAATTATGGTGGCGAAAACACGATTGACACATTTTGGCTCGATAGAAAAAGATTGCAAAATTTCCTCAAAATCTACAATTTTAGGTGCGTCCACTAAGTGAAAAAGCAGTTTCATTCGAATGTAATTAAATCAATTTCAATTAATTTCAGGCTACGTGTTCACCAGTAAATACGTGAGTGAATTATGGGTTTATTTTTCAATAAAAGAGTATATTATATCATTTTAAAAAGAAATATCTAATAAATATTGTGCGATTAAATAGCGCGCGGGCCGAACAAACAGTACATATAAAGCGTGAAAAATCTGCTTTTGGCGTCCACTTCACCTTAAGAAAAAGTTGAGTTCACGATGGTAAATAACCTGTTTTGAATCATTAAAAAATACAACCGAAATCAATAAGCGTCAGATATGGTTAATATATCGGCTGCAAGTGTAATTTTTTCAAAAATTAAATGAAAAGCACCCAAACTGTTACTGTGATGATTGACTTCAGAAATGTCTTGTTGCTAAACACTTTTGAAGCCGGTTAAAAATAACAAAAGAAGCTCTTTTTGGCCGATTTAAAAAAAAGAGGATACACAATTCGACTGTATGTTTTTTGGATATATATATGTTAGGTACGCTATATCCTCGTGAATTGTGACCGATTTTGATAATTATTTTTTTTGTCTAATAGGTGTGTCTTCAGTGGTGTTCCTATATTAATAATAAAGGAGAAAATATGCACTCTTAAGGGGGGCTCTTAATAAAAATTGAAAGTAGACTAAAAAAATAACAATTTCACATTCCGAAGTCTGGGATTAATTTTTAAACACTGCCTTAGAGCACTGATTTCAGATTCAGAATGTGAAATTATTTTATTCTTTTTCTTAGTTCCTTTTGGTTGTTCGAAGTTAGTTTTTACTTTCTTTCTTTATTAAAAGTAAATTTTCTTTACTCACCTAACAAATTAATTTTGTTTTATATGGGCATATTAATAAAGCATCGAAACTTGATGTTTCACTTTCTATAAATATTTTTTAATTCATAAAATTATATAAAATCATAAAATTTGAATTGAGTAGAATCTACTTGATCTTCATTTATTAAAATTAGAGTATGATAAATGATATTTCAGAAAAGGATTTATGAAGCGTTAATTAAGATGCACTCCGCCAAGTAAGAGGGCCAATGTATTCAAGTTGTGAGGCATACCAATGTATCAATGTACTCATTTTTTTTTGGTTTTTGGTTTTGTTAAACGTATACTTGCGTGTACGTGTTGGTCCCGCGGCGTGTCCAAGAATGGCAGCGATTCACTCCAATAGCTGCATGTGAGCTTCATGATGCCTGCCGTCCGCTAGTATACTTATAAATTTACAAAAGCTTTTCCATGTGCCGTCGATCCGTAACTTCGATCATGTTCAATCGGTTCGCGTTGCGGCAACTTATTTAATGATGATCGGGGCGGCCGCGTGCTGTTAAAACTACAAAGGCTGTTAAAGCCAGAATTCGTTGAAATCCCATTAGGAAGCAAAAAATCTTATAGCTAGAAATAAAAATAAAGATTCCCGCTAGCTATTCTGTCGCGTATTATAAAACAAGACCTGAAGCTCGGTGCTTATCCTCGATATACAGGACATACCCTTAATCAATCTTAACAATTAAAGAGAGTGGGTCGATCAAAACGCCTTCTGTCGCGATACGCAGGTGAAGAGCACAGAAATATCCTCTTCACCGATTAAAAAAAAATCACGATTGAAGAGTACTACAATAAGCAAAATGATAAAGTATACGCTCGTAGTTCTAAAGAAGCTGCTCAAGTGATCGGAAAGGTACAACGTGGTCATCATCCTGCATCAGTGATGGTTTGGTGGGGCATGTCTTATCAAGGTATCGCAAAACTACATTTTTGTGAAAAAGGAGTGAAAACTTCTGCTAAAGTGTATCAAGAGACAGTCTTGGATCATGTTGTGAAACCTTTCAGCAATACACTTTTTTAAAATGTACCATGGACTTTCCAGCAGGACTGCACGTGGTCACAAGGCACGAACTACCCAAGCCTGACTTGAAACCGGATTCCGGATTTTATAAGAGCTGAAGGCTGGCCCTCATCTAGCCCAAACCTCAACCCTTTAGACTACAAATTATGGTCAGTTTTAGAGGACATGGCTTGCTCTAAACGACACGGCGACATTGAGTCTCTTAAAAATCTGGAGCAAACAGTGGCGAAAGGAGACAATCAATTTTTCTATGGGGAATTGGCCCACTACAAATTTTAAAGATTATCAATGAAATGCATATCGATTTATTCTTTATAATCCATAGATTACAATAATATTAGTAGTTTTACTGCATCTAAACGGAGTCCTGAGAAATTAACAAATAAAATGTGAATCTAACAATAACCTAAAAACAAACTGAAAGCGATTTTCTAGTAGTATTCATCGGTATTATAAGTTAAAATAGTGCACACTTGAATAATAGTACATATAAAACTAAGCTGTAGGTATATTCAGCATTTATAAATATTTTAAAAGCGATGTAAAACCTTTCACTAGTTCCAGCAAAACATAGTGCCTGTCTATGCACCAATGTCGTATGGATTCTATTTTTGACATGTATTGAATGATTGTGAGTGATAAGGATTGTCAACTGAACGTCAATAACGGTTTTACGCGTTTTTGGTGTCATTTTAATTACTTTAAGTTTTCTTGTAATATTCTGATTACATTCCTTATATATTTTAGTACTTATATATTAATAATATTTATCTGCATTTTCATATTGTATCTCATTTAGCGACAATTTCATACTATCAAAAAACAGTTTAACGTAGCTTTAGTCTCTCGGTCGCCATGTCTAATCCAATTCTGCCTAAGCCACCGGATCCGAATTATTCTGACACTAACATTATTTCCTCACCCGCTGCTTATGTTGAAATTGAAAATGATTTAGAAGGTTCATTTAAAAAACCACGGCAGTCATTATCGCAAGAAATTTTTGATGACCACTTCAAAATTATTTGAAACAAAAAGAAAAGAAAACATAAAACGAAGGAAAGGAAGAAAGAAGAGCATGCTATTCGGGTTGACATAAATAGAAGAATTTCAGCTTTTTCCACCAATTCCTCATTCTCAGAATCGGACTGCGATACTGGTAATACTTCATCATCTAAAATTAAAATTGTAGGCTCTAACTCTATCAAAAGCAATATGTCAGGACAACGTGCTTATGAATCTCCCATGTCTTTATCATCCAATATTGCTTGTACACAATCATCTGAAATCCCTCTTTCACAATCATCTGGCATTCCTCTATCACAACATTAAATTCTGCCAATTGTTATATCTCCTCTAAATCTCTTAACACGCATATTGATAGCGATAATAAAAAAATAGAGTCACAAAGATTTCAATCTCTTCGTTCTTATAATTCTACAGATTCAGGTCCTTTTATCGTTCATGTTCAAGTAAAAGAAGATTCTCCTAATTCTGGTAAAACTTTAAATGCCATTTCATTTGGTCACTTTTTGAAAAAATTAAATGTACAAAATATAGTTAATGGAGGCCTAAAATGTTTCGGGAGAAATAGAATAACGGTTGAATTCTCTAAATTTATTGATGCAAATCTATTTTTAGAAAATCCATCCGTAAATGATAAATATAAAACCTTTATTCCATTCTTTCACGTATCTCGTATAGGAGTTATAAAAGGTGTACCAAAAGATTGGACACCAGAAGAGATTATTTCCGAATTATCTACGTATCCAAACACTATTCCTGTATTAAAAGTAAGATTAAATTACCGAGTTTGCAACGAGGACAAAGTCAGTTATGAAAGCTCTGAAAGTGTCGTAATCACATTTGACGGTCAGAGTTCTCCCTCGAGAGTTTATTTATGCTATTCTTCCATTCCTGTTGAAATTTATAAGCTTCCAACGATCCAATGCTTTCAGTGCTGCAGATTTGGACATACTAAAGATTTATGTCGTTCCAAGCCAAGATGCTCAAAATGTGGAGGTGATCA